GGGATCCTTCAGTGAGAGAGAACCCTCAGTGAAAGGAGATCCGTAGTAGGAGTAGCCTTCACTCTTATGAAAAGTAAATTGAAAACACGTCTGTCAACACCGGTTCTCAGAGATAGTACTGGTAATCTGTGCATCACTGATGTTCAGAGAGCTGCAGCGCTTGCAAGTTTTTTTGCGTCAGTTTTTACAACGCCTATATGCAGTTCGGGTGAAAACACAGAGGATGACCTTCTACAGGTAGATTTTTGCTCAGATATCACCATAGCTCCCAGGGATGTATACACAGTTTTAAAGTCGTTCAAAAGTTCTTGTTCATTGCCTTACGATGGCATCCCTCAAATAGTGTATAAAGGATGCGCCTCCGTCCTGTGTAAACCCATTTGTATGATAATGAATACCTCTTTGATGTTCGGAGAAGTCCCAGAGATCTGGAAAGAATCTATCATCACACCTATTCCTAAAACTCCAAATGCAGACGTGGTCTCCTCTTTTCGACCTATCAGTATTACTTCACCAGCAGCTACGGTATTGGAAAAACTGGTACGTGATAAACTTGCAACACACTTTCGCAAAAACATGTAGTACCTTTGGAACAACATGAATTTGTGGGAGGAGCTTCTTCAAGTAAGCTGATGGCTGATTGCTTGTTCGACTGGAGCTTGGCTGTTAACAGAAGCCAAGGTGCATATGTAATATATTTTGATTTAGCAAAGGCTTTCGATAGAGTTAATATCAGTAAGCTTCTCACAAAAATAAGGCAAGTTGGTGTCTCCGGAACAATGTTCAATTGGATTCAGTCATACTTAAGTAACAGACATATGTGTGTTAAGGTCGGGAACTCCTTCTCAGAACGTCTTTTGTGTACGAGTGGTGTTCCTCAGGGTGGTGTACTGTCACCTCTACTGTTCTTGGCATACTCGTATGATTTACCAAAATATCTAATTACACACCCCATGGTTAACGCGCGTATCTACGCAGATGTGACAGTGCACTGATAAGGGCGGAGGTGGTGTAGTGGCAAGTGGCGCACTATATCACACGCACGGTCAGGGGCTCGAATCCCGGATCGATGCCCGCCTAGGCCAACCAAGCCTTCCATCCCTCCGGGGTCGGTGAATTGGTACCAGACTCGTCTGGGAGGATAAAAGCACTGACTTGTATATCGGCTGGCCACCGCAAGTCATTGTATAGGCCACATACGCACTCATTACGCCACTACGATTCTGAATGGAAGTCGAGTGCAGGGGCGCATCCCTCAGACGGGATTGATTAACGCCAAAAACTTTATCCTTTATCCTTTATCTACGCAGATGATATCAAAGTGTATGGTATATATGACCAGGATAGCAAGGAGGTTATCCATCAGGCTCTAACCCAATCCATCATTAACATGTTAATGATGGATTGGGCAACAGCTTGGGATATACCTGTGAACCTCGCTAAGACAATGGTACTGCATCTTGGGAAAGCTTATAAGATTCCGTACACGTTAGGCGATACAACTCTGCTTGCTTCTGAAGAAGTCAAAGATCTTGGCTTCCACGTCAGCTCAGACCTGAGTTTCGAACCCCACATCAATGTTATTGTTCAAAAAGCATTCAGAGTTCTTTTTACGATATTCAGAAACATTCATAACAATAGTGTCTCACTATTTTTGAAACTTTATCGATGTTATGTTGTTCCGATATTGGAGTATGGGTCACAGGTCTGGAGCCCGCAAACTAGAAACCTTCAAGCGAAAATAGAGAAAGTTCAGCAAACCCTCACAAAAGTATTGATGTACAGATGTTTCCCGAGTCCTACTTACCCTGCATGCATGCCTGTTTACAGAGAACGTCTTCAGCGGCTTAAGCTGAAGAAGCTTCTCTATAGACGGGTCTTCAATGACATCGTGTTCGGTTTCAAATTGCTCCGGGGTGAACTAAAGCTCAAGCCGAGCAAGTACTGGGTGTTTAGGCCTTGCCGGGGACGTACTAGTATGCTCTCCATAACTTGCCCTAAACTGGCCACGAATCAGCGCAACAAGGTTTGCTGGTCTTTTTTCTTCCGTAATGCGAAATGGCTCCAGCTGCTGCCTGCTGAGATCCAAGAATCTCAAAGTGTTGGTGTTTTCAAGAGAAAGTCGAGAGAAATTAATCTTTTGTTACTACTTGGCATCCCGGACTTCTGAGAATTTCGATAATTATCAGCTTATTTCCAGCAATACCCACCTACCAGAAATGTACATGATTCGAATCAGAGAGAGGACAGTGATATGTGTCTTTTGTTTTTTTGTTTTGATTGTTCTGTTTTGTGTTTTTTTTGCTTTTCCTTTTATCTCACATCTACGACATTATGTTAATATTCTTCTAAATTTTTGCACCTTACGCGTACCTTACGCGATTGGTGGTGATCTTAAGACCGATGATCGTGATGTGGTACTATCTACCAAAATCTCGAGAGAATCTTGAAGTAGCCATAGGCCAATTTGAAATAAGGGCGGATCTGAAGCTGAATTGTTAGGGCTAGAGAATACCTAACATCCGAAAATTCGGTTTCAGATTCCATATATGTATATAAACATATTTCGTGCTCTCTGGAAGTGGTGTTATCCCTAGCGCCATCCGCCTACTGAGTTCCATTCGCCCGATCTTGAGTTAACTTCTTCTTATTAATCTGAACAAATCTTGACCAGCCGATGTAAGGTTTGACTCTACTATGTCGTTGATGTTTTACTTCACTGTTTTGTTAGAGCGCACCTCTGCGTGCATCAAAATAAAATAAAATAAAATGTGAACATCAATTCAAAACAGTTATAGATGTCGATCGTTGTCAGTTCCTATCAAACAGTCGCTTAACACCCCAAATCACCTATCAATGTATTGAAGTTCTGACCTTGACAGGGAGAGCTTAACCGAATTTGTGACCTCACTTTATAGTTTCTCATCAGCTGCTACCAATTAAAGCACGCTTAATGATAGATCAATGAAACTAATAGTCCGGAATACATAGTGCAGAGATGACGGAGAAAACGCAAAAAACGGCGTAACTAGAGAGATACAATTCTTCAAGGAAGTACCAAAATTAGGGATTGGACGAAAATGTGAACGCAAAAAGGGGTGTTCTGAATTACTGTGATATCAATACGGTACAGGGATCACATGGTGTACCGTAACACCTGAGGTCACGCAGAATTTTGCAATGTCGTGACCTCTGATACCAGAGGTATGTGATCCTTGCATATATGGGATGCAAGATGAAGAGTCATCATCCAGGCTATTGCGTAAGCCGTGAGCGGTGTGTTTTCTCGTTTCCTGCCTGATCGTCAGACATGTCGACGTCATTCCTGCGAATCAAGATGCCGAAGACTCAGCAGCGACTGAACAGGTGGAAGAGCGTGCTCTCCAGGAAGAAATAGCTGAAACTGTTATTCGTTTCGACCCTAGATACCTTAATTTTATTATTCAAGCTGTGAAGGATTAAAATCCTCGTCATCTCAGGCACCTCCGGCCACTCATGCGTTTAAGAGAGATGTTTTTGCTCGTCAGTTCGATTTCAACAATGATATTATTCGAAAGCTCACACCATTGCAGAATGTCGAAGGTATCAGTCTTGTAATACATGAGGTAATTCGAGATCTTAATGTCAGAAACGAAACCCTTAAAATTGCGGATTCCTACCCGCAGGTTTTCCAACTCTTAGATATAAAGAAGAAATCAGAAGTGCTCAAAAACATGGACTCGAAGCTCGGAGAAGAATTTATGGACATTGTAAGGAAGGAGCAAGAGGGCAACAGGAAGCGAAAGCAGTCTTCGTCCATGCCCTTTTGAGGTAGGGGAACAGCGTGGCGCCCTGTTTCCTTTGTTACTCGCACGCCAGTCAGTTACATGTCCAACTGGAGCAGATCGCATACTGATCGTCGCCCCTATTCGTATTCGAGACGTGACTTACTACCCACACGTGACCCAAGGGAGTTTCACAACTATTACAAAAAAGAGGAGAATAGAAGAAAAACGTCATGTAATCTTTGCGGAAGAGAAGGCCACTGTGCCAAAGAGTGTCCAGGAAGTCAACAGTGAGTTTGTAGTTGGTTCAATACATAACTTTTATGAAGTATGGCGGGCTCTCGAGCCATCGAAGCTGCTCTCGACCACAATTTTACAAGGGTACTCGTTGCCATTTCATTCTACTCCGTCTTAGCCAGTAGACTCAGGCAATAGAAAATCAGCTCTCATGCATAAAGATTTCGTTAATAAAGAGATTTTAGAGCTCCTCTCGACCGGAGCAATTCGCGAAGCCCACGGCGATTCGCAAGACCCTCATTTTCATCTGTCGCAAAAGATGAAAACTTAGATTGGTTCTCGACTTATCCCATTTATACAAATTTCTCCATGAGCCGAAAATCAAGTTCGATGATATGAGTACCGTTCTCCACGTGTTTCCAGATCAAGTTTCATGACCACTTTCAATCTCAAAAGCGGTTATCATCATGTGCGAATTTTGGAGGGGCACATGCGATATTTGTGATTTAAATGGGAAGGTCGGATGTTCAAATTTTTCAGTTTACCTTTCGGACTGTCCTCTGCACCATATATATTCACCAAGCTGTACTGCTTTATCAAAGTTTGGAGAACTCAAGGAAGGGGAGTAGCTATTTATATTGACGATGGCATTATTTTCGAAAGGTCCGTGGAAGCATGTTCAGAGACTGTATATATTATAAGAGCCAATCTCAGTCGAGCAGGCTGGTTCTTCGCTCAAGAAAAGTGCAAATGGTCTCCTTCACAAACATGTCAATGGCTAGGTCTTGATGTTAACTTGTCATCTATGATAATATCTGTCTCGACAGAGAGATTGTCAAAAGCGATGCAAATACCAAAAGAATTCACCAAAACAGCAGGCCCTCACTATATGACAGATTGCGTTGGAGTGGAATAACATCATCTTTACACCTTCTTTTAAATTATGTGGATAAACGTAATGCGAGGGTAGTCCCTTGCGAGATAGCAGTGGCCCACTCTGGGAATTGGAGACTCCCCGAAAGATGGCCTAAAACGGGCGAGGAACTCGATGAATTAAATACGTTACTGGAAACTCAGGATGCGGGGTGGTCCCCAAGCACCTATAAGATCTAGTGTTAATAACAGCACGTATGCCCATATGCTAGATGTGGACGCATCAAACCATTCAGTAGGAGCGACATTACGAGACGCAGATGGGTCCGTTATTTCGCGTACTTTTTGTGAGCTTCCAAAGCAGCTAAAAGAGGGATCCAATGCATTACGTGAGTTTTTTGCGATTCATTTTGCAATAGACTCCTCCAAAGACAGTATCCAGCATGTTTTAGCCAACACTGACAGTCAAAGCGCAGTGGTCATATACAGCAAGGGAAGTTTAGGACTACAATTACACCGGATGGCTCAAACACTTGAAAACTAGAGCAAGATTATGAGATTTGCACAATATTAAGATCGGTCCCTAGAAAGAGCAATCAAGAGGCGGATAGAGCCAGTCGTGTGATAGACTATGATGATTCGAGAATATCAAACCGTGTCTTTGAAGCCATCGCTCACAAGTGGGGGAAGCCTCAGAGTGATATGTTCGCTAATGATAGAAATACGAAGTGCGATGTGTTTTTTCCAGATACCAGTGTCCCGGTACATCAGGAATTGACGCATTCGTCCACTCAGAACCGTGGAGGCGTGGACCTCTTTGGTTAGTTCCTCCAGTCAACATGATTACCAAGACCCTCAAGTGGACCAAGCTGAAAGGATTACGTTGCATATTGGGAAGCCCTCTCTGAAAGTTTCAACCGTTTTACCCACTACTATGTACCCGGTATGGACAATGGGCCGATTTGTTTCGGAGAGCATAAGTTTTGCACTGGGTACCAAACTATTCAAAGACCCACAGATTACGGGAGCATTCGGGTCTGAGCTTTCACATTCACCCTTCACCTCCTTTTTCATGGATTTCAGCAGGACCAAACGCTGAACCTTTGAATTAGGGTCCCCATGCTTTGCAGTTCCAATCCCTGTTGGAAATGTAATCAATAGTTTGAAACTGTATCTATAACAGAGTACGGAGGTATAAGTGGTGTTTTGAAGTATTGTGATATCGATACGGAACAGGGATCACAGGGTGCAGCATTTCGCAGTGCCGTGTACCAGGAGCACCTCTTATACCAGGAGCATGTGATCTCTGTATATATGGGATCCAAAATGAGGAGTCATCCTCCAGGCTATTGCGTAAGCCGTGAGCGGTGTACCTGCCACCCACCCAAGCAATGTCTCATGATGTAATTTTACAGCTCCACGATTCAAGGAAGCTGCAGCCTTGGGGATCAAAGCAGAGCAGTTGGGACTTATGCACATCAGCAACGTCATTATAGATGCAATCAATTCGGACAGAGCACCGTCAACTGTCGGAGTTTACATATACGAAATGGAAAAATTTCAAAAATGGAGAAGCGGTCCGTATATGCGTAATATACCTACGCCAAGCTAGGAATCTTTACTTAGCCAAGTGTCGTGCAGAAGCCAGATATAGATGAATGCCAACTGTTATAGCAGCTCTTAGCTACTTCTGTCGGCCGTTGGAGGGAGATATAAATAAAGTCAAGACCCCCCTTGAATGCACTTAAGCGGTGCTACCACCCCTCAGCATCGTACCAAAATTCGGCCAGAGCAGATGGGAAATATCATCAAAGTGGGGAGCACAGATAACGACCCAAAGGTCATACAAGCAGCGGCACTAGCGTTGATCAGTTCAAGGCGCTACTCAGGATCAGTGAGGCACAAGCCCTGCGCGTATCCGATGTCAAAAACACTGGGAACGATATATGATCCAAAATCCAAGACAGATCAGCATGCCATAGGGCAGTGGTGGCTGTACTCTTTAATGCACAAGAGCGCGCCTTATGACCTGTCTACCCTGGGGAACGCTACATTCCTTTTCCAGTCCGGGTCCACTGGGCTTCCCTTAGCTCTTTCACCTAAGGGACAGGCTTGAGAATATTTTAAGCTATGCTAATCTCCAGTGATCCAACATAACATCACACTCTTTCAAATGGGACGCAGCCACGCAAGCGCATTATGGGAGCTCACCAAATAGATGTTACGTTATGCAGGCTGGGCCTTGGAGGACACTAGGAGGGTTTCAGAATTACATCGCACCCAAAATCTCAACTATAACTTCGTCTTTTGCTTCATGATGTATTATTGCCTATTTACTCGTTAAGAATCTCTGATACTACAATATCCACTGCACACTAGACTCGACTATATATTTTTTCAAGTCGTAATTCGTGTTGATATTCTCATACCTCATTCTCATGCAATGTGGCATATTTAATGACCAGTCGGATCGCCCAGCTGACGCCGGGCTCTCCTCCTTCTTATGTTATGCCCGGCTATGCCAGGCATCCTCCTTCTTATGTAATAGGTACAAAGATTGGTACGAACAATCTGAAATTTCCTTTCGATGAATATCAAATGAAACTATTTCATTCTAATAATGACTTCCTCGGATAGTGCTTGATCAGAAAGTGATACAGAAGTCGACTTAGGAAGCATACCTATCTGAGGCTTCCGGTCTAATCAGAACATGATTGAAATCGAAATCGTAACTGGAATCATTCAGAATCTAAGGCGCTTCTTCTCGACTGGTTAAAAGGTAAGCAACATAAATTTGCGGCAAAACACAACATCGTAGTAATGTCAGCACATTTTCGTAGGGTCATCGTACTCACAGAACGTTCTTGAAAACTGTTGCGTATCTTCTGCCAGGGAAATGGAACTTTGACTGAACTCGAAGTGCGAACTATCGATAACTCAACATATAGTTGACCATGAAAACAGACGTCATCAGGAATGTATACTCCGACACTTGAAAGGGTCTCTCTTTGAGCCTTGTTGATCGTAGTTGCGAAGGTAACGCGGACCGGGAATTGACGCCTTCGAAGACGTAAAGGAAGTTTTTATCAGTATAGTTGTCAATTCGAAGAAGTAGGACATACTGATTCCTTCTAGTCCCCGTAGCGAAGCGACACCCCAGAACAAATCGGCCACAATGGTCAACTATTATATAAGCCTAGTCCCGTTGCAGAGACCCTTAGCAATGTCCTGGTTTTGCAGCAACATCACGATGCAAGCTTGTTTTAGTCTGAGCTCATGAGGCGACATATCAGCGGGACTTAGCTGATTGAGGAAATCAACTGGATAGTTCAAAATGTCTCCTGAACCTGAGCATTTCGCCTCACCTACGCTTTTATATATCTTCAATTCCAATTCCTCAGGCATTCGTTGGTGAGCAACATAGATGTTCTTAGGTGCAAGGATTGCTTTCTCTGCCAAGTTTCCAAGTTTTTGATACTGTTTCTTTTCCCGAAGATTTCTGTAATCAAGTCTCCACTACTACGTATTTCGGCCGGCAACTCAATGAGACCATCCACGTCTTCTGGGTAGGTTCCATTACCAATTTGCAAGAGCATTCTAGCCCGCTCCTAATTCTCAGCGGAAGCCCTCATATTACTTTAAAGGTGGAACGTGACGCAATGTCTCCATAGGTAAGAGTTTCCGATACATGCGTTCTCTAGGTCTTCTTGTTGACTCCTCTCCACAACTGAAAGAACTTGCAGGAAGTCTCCTTCTAAGATCATCGGCTTCACTCCAAAAGGCAGGTTATTCTGCATAATGTCTGAGCAGAACGTCCACGACTTCAAGAGTCCGCTTGGGCACCATGGATATCTCGTCCCAAGAAATGACAGAAACGTTTTGGAAAGCTTTTGCTTTTGCAGATTGCCTTTTCATACAACAGCTTTTATTGCTGTCGTGTATATTGACCTTGAATGTACTGCTCGCCGTTTTTCCAATGAGAAGAAGCCTCGCAGCGATTCCCGTTTATGCCGCACAGATTACACTCTTTCTCATTCCAAGAAGTGTACGAAATAATGAAGCGTAGAGGAACCTTGCCACTCTCTCCAGGTCCGTCTATGAAAAAATGTCTACTGACATCGCCAGTTACGGATGCTAAAATGCTAGTCGCGGCAGCCTTCTGACCGTCATTTAACTGTTCTGAAATAGTTGTCCTGCGGTCGGGGGTAGCTCGCCTTCTTCCCTTCTTTAGTATAATCGCCACGCGGGACTTGCGCTCCAAACATGGGTAATTGAACTTCATCATTAATATGTCAGAAAAAAACCATAAGTGGGAATCGTACAAGGCACGAAAAAAAAACGGCATCATTGTGAGATTATTACGAATACCGCAATAAGTGGCAACGTGGGTGCGAGGCAAGATGAGTTCAAGAGATCGAGTGACAACAGAAAAACCTAACAGCACTGGTTAACATAACAACATAACAACAATGGTACTTCTACATAAAAAAGACGATATCAGAATCACCACTAATCAACATGGTAACATCAACAGCACTACAATAAATGAATACAACAAGAGAACTTGGGGCTGCAATAGAAAGTCTCGCTAAGTCGCAGAGAAAGAGAAACATAAAGAGTAATCGCTTTATCGCACTCTCCGCGAGCTCTCCTTGATAGCGTTCAATGACTAGTGAGGCTGCGCGGACTTTGAAAGTCCCAAAAATTTCTGCAGTACGTTAATTAGAGACCTTTAATTTATTAGGTTGCGCCCTTTCGTGGCTGCGGCCTTTGATCTTTAGGCCGCGGTTTTTTCCGCGACACTCCGCCCGGCGAAAGAAATGAGTCTCGCTGCTCGTATTGTTGAGGTCTTAACGGTGCCTCGACTCCTGCAGTGACCGCAGACGTCGTAGCCGTGCATTAAGGTCGTCGATCGCCAGTTCGCGGTGCCGCTTGTCCGCTTCGATCTGGAGCGATACTTCCGGCAGTGCAACCGTCCTGGCCTGTCCTCTTACAGTGAGAGCAGAGAATCTTTGCTTTCACACAGTCGCTATCGCCCTCACATTCCAGCTCTAGGCATATTTGGAATCTTCGGGCTCTGCGGAAGTACTGCGCCCTCTCCTGTCCGGTGCGGATCTGGCTGCAAGAGTCGGAGTAATGGCGTCCGAGCGCTCCGCAAGACACGCAGGGCATTTCCTCCTCCTCGCGGCGGTATATTCCTGCTAGGTACTCCCGCGGCCGACATACTTTCCTGCGGGCGAGTTCTCTCTTGCGGCGGCTGACCTCCGTTAGCTCAGCTTCCAATCTTCCAATTTCCCTCCCCAGGGCTGCACCTTCTTCATCGCTTTCCTCCTCCTCGTGGAGTGCCTCCATAAATTCCGCGTTGTCCGCTTCCTTGCTCGCTCCTCGTCTTCCTCTTTACTTGCTGTGAAAAGCCAAAAACAAAGAAGCACATGCACGAGGATAACAGCTATGACAGCAGAGTATGTTGGTGCGTCATCTGACGGATAGCCGAAAAGAACTTGGAGTACTTGAGTTATTAAGCGAAATGTCATCAACATAGATGAGATAAAGATTCCAAAGTGACGGCCATGGATGCCGTGGAAGCACTCGTAAATGCGAATGACAGTGTATAAAACATAGAAATTGAGGTTATGAACGCTATGAATAGCGCATGTCGCAAAGGAGATTAGAAAAAAACGTGCCGCTTCCGTGGGCTGTCGGTCATCATATTAAATGATGTCGAAATATGGCATACGCGATTATGACGGACTTTTCCGTCTGCGCTCTGCCACCTGAGGAGTGATATCGATACTGGAGTAGATGCAGACGAAAAGGTAAAACGTTGAACGTCCGCTTTAATCGCCATTTCGCCGTTATTGTCGTTTTCGGTGTAATTGCAGACCATTTCACTTCTGTTTTAATTTGACGGCATTTTCGCCTTTTTTGTTAAAAAACTTTTCTTTTGTTTTTTCTCCTTTTCGCTCGCGTGTGGTACAATGACGAGTAGAGGAATAGTTTGGCGATGTAATTTCGCTGGTTCGCTATTGTTGACGTCAATTCAAGTAGTTGTTTCCGCATTGTCGGTGTAGCGACTTTGTTTATCCGTGGTCGCAGATTATATGAATGTCGCGTATCCTCGCGGTTTTGTGTTATTTCGGTGATTTTTTGCTCTTGGTCAACTTCGCCATTGATTTTCATTGGAATAATTAGATTGATAGGTGTTTTAATCCTTCCTCTTTTCGCTGTAATTAGTTCCGCTTCCCTAATTGTCCCGTCCGCTGATGGTATAAGTCCATTACACGTGCTAATTTCCATTCATTTCGTGGTAGGATAGGATCGCTTACTAGGACGATTGTTCTTTTTCGAGGAATTGTGGGATTATTCCTATTTCTGGATAATTGCGTTTTGTGCTGTTCTCGCAGGGCGCTCAGGTATTGTTCTCGCCACACCTCCCTAAACTGTTTGGAGATCTGATGGACGACATACAAAGTTTCACGCTGTGCGTTCAGTTCGAAAAACGCTGTCAACATTGTGTCTCGTTCGGCTGCTCGACGGAGCACCTCCTCTTCTCTTCCTCCTTAGAATGTCAGTCTGGAAACCAGGCAGGTGAACTTGGAGCCTATAGACGGTATCAGACTCTGACTGAAGTTCGAACTCTAGGAGTCTCTGTAAAGCCTCAGGCGCACACACGTATCTCGCATTTACATATTCGACAATTTCATTGTTTTCTCTATCGTTGAAGCTGTCATCTCTTCGTACCATGAAGGGTGCTGCTCGATTCGGTCCTTTGTAGACGTACTTACACATGTACTTGACCGCTTGAATCATGCCACATATTTCTACATTCAAATGGCCGTTGTATCAAAGAGCTGAGTATCTGTTGTACGGCACTACAGATCTGTTGTCAAGTACTTTTCCTCCTGAAACGAATGTTCTGCCGTCATCAGGCCGGCGATACTCCGGGTGGCCATCACGCTCGTTGTTTGTCTCAACCTTTTAGAACACTTCCCATCAATCATACATGGCGAACGTGGATTGTCTTGTCCACATGGCTTATGCATCATTCAGCTTGTAACAATATTATACAGCCGAGGTTCAGTTTCCTGATCCGGGACAATAGCTTGCACTAGAGAGTCAATGTTGCTGACGCTTTTTGGTTTATCCTGTTCTGCTAAAGTGATAAGAATGTGTCAGCGAGGGAGTCCACGCTTCTGTCACTCCATTACAGAGATGTACGCATTGATCGCCCTCTACTTGCCTCCTGAGCAATTCACAATAGAATTCTTGTAATTTGATATTGAACACGCGGGTAACGATGTCAGGTCTGTCGGATGCCGTTTGCCTAATTTCCAGTCGTTCCATGATCTCCCTCCATACTTGATTACATGTATATGTAATGAAGTGATCTGGTTTTTCGTATTCGGATACAGGGACCATGGCGTCTTGATAATTCTGGACCACTGCACGGGGTGACCATGGGAACGAAGATGGCAGAATTACTCGTCTAACACTCGCTGGGCTTGCAAAGTCGTTATCACCGGTTACATAGTCAGCGAGACCGCGGAAACTGTCTACCCTGATTTCGGCTGGATGAGTGCGATCATGGTTCAGTCGGTTTTGTTCAGTCTTGACATGACTGTCCACTAAGAACTGCTGGTAAAGTTTTCCCGTGAAGTGGAGAGAGCTGAAATCATTTCTTGCAGCTATCATACTGAAATAATATTCCTTCTGCGTTATTCTCGTTCGACGTCTATCGGATGGATTCTTGAGCATATTTGGGTGCCATCCTAATTCTCCTCGAGGGAAGAGTATTGGATAAGTCAGAGGGTGGCATCAGGGTCAAGTACCCCGATTGTTTGCAATCCTCCGCCTCTTAGATGGACTGCAAGACTATGCTCTGCAGGCACATCCCCATGCCAACGTAAATCACGGCTACTTCATTAGCTATAGGAGCATTGTATCGCACCGCTTTTGCCGGTCTTCCTTCCCTGGCAGCGCACAACTCTTCCTCTACAGCCACTTCATGAAGCATCTTGTATGCCTGTGCGAAGACTTAATTCGATGCAGAAGTTCACCTAACGACTGAATAAACCGGAGCTTACAACCTGTATTAGCTGGGTTTCCGATCCTTTCCTCTTCTGCCATGGACGTATCTAGAAAAAAGAATGAATGTAGACCTGGCCAGTTGGGGTTGCCCATCTTCAGAGCGCACAGGTCCTATTTTATGGTGAATCTGACCATGTATGCGAAAACAGTAGGGGACAATGTCCACGCGGGGCGTCCAGCTGTGCACCCATAGAGGCGAATGCGAATGCGCTATTGCAGTTGCGAATATGCTCGCGAAACTCTTTTGCTTCGATTTCCTCACTTGTAAGCAATTGGTGGAGCCTTACAGGGTAGTTATTGGAATGCAGCAAGCTTATGCTACCATGATTGCAGCAATCATTGAATGTCCTCTCACCCTTCGTTTCTGACCTGAAATATTTTGCTCCGCAGCTTTCACATGCTACATTCATTTGGCCATCGTAGTGTCCATCCGGTTGTGCATTCGTCCGGGCTACTCCACGTGCTTGAGCTGAGATGCCTCTAACACGTGTGTGGTGCCGCTCAGCCACGGCTCTTCGTCTTTGTTGAGTCTTTGCTGATGTCTCACGGCTTCTTCGAATACGATCCGCTGTGCTGAGGCGACATGACGCTGTTGGCGCATCGCCTCGTCTTCTTGCTGTCTACGTAGCCTTGCTCTCGCACCATCTCGTGCTCGTCGGATCTCTCAAATCTCATAACTTTCTTGTTGCCTTGGAATTCTCAATCTTGCTGCTTCTTGCACCGATCTGGTTTTGTTCTTTCCTCCTCTTCTGCATCTCTTATAGCTCTGACCCTCTCAGCTTTTGTTGCCAAACGCGCTCCTTTGTGGTAGTCATCCTCAACTTGTCTTCGCATTCGATCCCTGCCGGCTTCGCTCGATAAGCGAGCTTCCCTGCCTTTTGCTGTCTTCGAAACCGGGCTCTCTCTCTTCCTTCCGTGAGACGCACTGCTCGCTGAAAATCGCTCTCCTAATCTCTGCGCATCCTTGCTCTCTCAGCATTCTGCGAACGGCGAGAATCCCTTTCCTCGTGCGACTCCTGTGCGCGACGTCTTCTCTTCCGTTCTGAATCTCTCTGAAGTCTTGCCTGCCGTTCTGCTTCAGATTCATTTCCATTCCGTGTTCTCACTCTGACAGCTCCTCTCCCTTGATATCTTCGAGCATCATCTTCTCCGTTGGATTCATGCCATATTGTTGTCCTGATAATACATTCGGAACTTGTTTAGTGTGCGACATATTTATTTTTGAAAAAGTTCCGTCGGCGTCAAGATCATAACTACAGTCTTCTCTAAGACATTAACTCGCTCTATATCTACTTGTCTGTTTCTTCGAAGAAATCTTGCCATTCTTTGATATTATTGCTGCAAATCGGCAGCACGAATAGGGGAGAAGTCGTTTTCCAATAATTCCCTATTCCGTCCATCTAGCAATTTGATTATCCTTTATCGTGAAAGTCATCTGGCTAACCCCTCCAGGGATTCGGCCACCCTCCCTCTGATACCTCCAGCCACTTGCAAGGGAAGGATAATTGGTCGCAGTGGCCATTCGAGATGAAATGTATACCCCCGTAGGTGGTTTCGAACGGTGATTTCAAATCTGTGTCCCAAATCTGCGAAACGATTCTGGGAACAAAGTTACGGGACCGGGGCCTCCCTGTGTTATACCCCTGCGCTGAACGGATCACCTGTGCAACGGTGGCCTAGGGAATAGAGTGGTAGACTAATAAGCATGACATCAGGGTTCGATTCCTTGATGCATGGGCTCGTTTTGCATTTTCCATAAAATGCATCCTAAACGCTTGTAAAACGTTTTTAGGCTCAATGTTGGGCATCTACAGGGCTCCCTCATAGTTTAGGAACACTGGAGAAGTATTACAAGGCACGTTTTTTTTTGCCTGTCACCGGCCGAATAAGGTTGAAGCTCTACTCGAGCG